GACAGGGGAGAGGGCGGGGGGGGGAGATGGGGAGAAAGCGAGAGATTCTTTTTTCTGAGTTTTTTTGTCGGGGTTTGTGGACGGTGAGCAGCGGGGAGATCTTTTTTTATTTTCTTTCTGAGGAGCGGCATGAATGGGGTTTTAATCAGATATACACAGCACCGAAAGCAAAATACGTGTACAAAATATTGGTGGGGACTGTCCCCCTACTGGTCAATATTGTTGGGGACATGTCCACACCAGTCCTTAAGGAAGTTACGCCTATGGTTGTATATACATTTCTGAAACTTCATAGGTTAAATTTCAGTAATTTCTTCTTTTCCTACCTTGAATTACTTTGTGCTGCACTGTCTGATAAAATCACAGTTTATTCTATGTAAAATGTTTTGTTTGCATTTTGTGAAAATCTGGAAACATTTAAGGTTGAAGTAAGTACTTTCTCCAGAGGACAGTAAGAACACAAAGACTCAACCAAACTTTTGACCTCGTACACTGAAGCAAATCCTCAAAAGTTGGCTGAACCCTCTTAGCTCCTCCCTCAAAGCTGATGATGCACGTCACCTGGGCAGCTGCCAGTCACGTATAAAAGTCTATCGGTGTCTCGTTAAACAAAGATGACTGTCTTCACTGCAACAGCTTTACGAGCTGCAGGTTTTGGCTGCGAGTGAAGAGTGAAGCTGGTGGTCTGCATGGCGATCCAGAATCATTAACATACAGATAACGATGTTTTACTTTGTTTATGGTTTCCTTTGTTTAACATAATACAGTAAAAAGGGGTCCATAACCTCACATAAGGAGATCAGAGACTCTTCTCTAATGTAGTGAATACAAGTGTTGCCAAGGTAATATTATGCTTCTATCCAATCCAAGCACAAATGTTGGGATTGGAAAAGGTCAAAGAGCACACATTTAAATACCATATTGATTTATTTAAGGACATTAGAATGCTTTTTTTCTCTTTTGAAGTGATGCTCAGTTTCTTGTTCATCATCTGTACTAAGAATTGTTATCAGACAGTCCAGCTGTTTGTATTACAGTTGTAAGAACAAAAAAGAAATAGGCTCTAAGTGGGATTTTTACCAACATGTTAGCATTCCAAACTTCTCTACACTGTAAAAACTATCTAAAAATCAGTGTCTTTACCCTAATTTGAGTAGGTGAATATGATGATCTGCCAATGGAATAAGTATTTTTACTTTTAAAATAAGATAAAAACTTAATCGTCATTTTGTATAGACAGTGTACACAAAATGAAATTTTGTTTATACAGCTTAACGACAGTGGATGAGCAGCAGCTTAGCAGTAAAAAATAACATTTCCATTCATGAAGTGCAGCAGCAATTAGGAATTATGCACTTAAAATAAGAGACTGCAGTTGTTTGTTTTTATTATTATCTTAACTTATTTTAAATTGTCATGAAGATTAAGTGTAAATTCAATCTGAAAGACTTTTATTAGCTTCACTTGAAACACCTGCGATGTCCCTTGTTCAGCTCCAGCCAATCAGCTCGGGGCAGCACCTTCTCCAAAGCCAATCATCTTGCAAGATCACCTTCATTTAGCTCCAGCCCAGCTTCCCTTTCTCACATCCAAGCGAACTTTCCCCCATCTCCTCCCTCATTATCATTTTCACTCATCCTCTGGCTTATTCCATCACCAGGTTTGAGACACTAATCCTTTTTTTTGGTTATTCATCCAAGAGTATGTTGATTCACAGCATCAAAGTCTTCGCTCGAGGCCCGAGCACCAATTAACTTATTTGGTTTATGTCTTCATGTGCTTCTGTCTCCTTAAACCCCAGTCGGCCTCGGCAGATGGCCGCTCACACTGAGCCTGGTTCTGCTGGAGGTTTCTTCTTGTTAAAAGTTTTCCTCTCCACTGTCGTTACAATCATGCTTAGATTAACAGATTGCAGAGAATTAATGATTGTTCGCAGTGAGCTGTTTTTCCTTAGATAGAAATATTTTGAAGAATATTATTGTGTTACCTGTTTAAATAAATGCTATATTTTCTAATTGCAATTTTTCTTTGAGTGAGCCTCTCCAGGTTGAATCACTTATTCTATTGGCAAAGTGTCTCACGTACCTGCTCAGTACAGGAAAAAATGCACTTATTTTAAGGAAATGTTACTTCCATTTTTTGGCAGTGTAATAAAGGGGTTGAATGTCCTTCTAAGGCTTTTCAGTCACTGTTGGCTTGTTACTTTTATTTTATTTGTCATTTTAAAGTCTTGTTTTGACAAAGATTAAATGGTTTATTGTCTTTTGTTGTGTAGGAGAAGGGAACCTGGTCAGCCATGTTTAATATCTGTATTTTTATCACTGACCTGCAGGTGGATGGGATCCTATGCCTGGCAGACATCTTGACTGACGACAGCAGCGTTGAAGCAGCCAGGGCAGAGGCTGCGGCAGTCGTGGCTCAGATCACCTCACCCCACCACACCTCCACTCAGCACCTTGCCAGCTTCCTGGAGAGCATGCATGACATCGTCACAGCTCTCATCAGTGAGTGGGCACACTGCCTGGCACCATACTGTCCTTTCTGTGTTTTGTAGGACAAAAAAATCTAGTGTTTTAAAAGGCTATACATATATACTGTATACAAAAACAAATTAGACTTGGTAGCATTTTGTTGCACCAAAAGAGTATAGCTAACAGGATGCCCTTTATTGTCTCAGAGCTGTGTGAGAGTGCCTCCTGTGGTGAAGTGTTCCTCCTGGCTTCTGCAGCCTTGGCCAACATCACTTTTTTCGACAGCATGGCCTGTGAGATTCTCCTGCAGCTAAACGCCATCCACATCCTGCTGCAGGCATGCAAGGACCGCCAAAGAGTCGACACACCCTACTCCAAGGACCAGGTATCAAACACAACAGAAACAGGCGTTATAGTTGGCTCAAACATACAGGCCTAATGGTATACTAGCAAGTTTGTTTGTGTTTTATATATAAAAAAAAAAACTGCACTTTTCATATATCATTTATATCTCAGGTGGTGACAATTTTGGCAAATCTTTCTGTTTTGGAGGCGTGTGCTTCAGATGTCCTGCAAGAGCAAGGTAAACATATCTACTGCTATATTATCTCTTCTAATTGTATTTCTTTTTGCACCAAGGCACCATTAATCCTAAAAAACGAAAATGTCTGACATAACCATAAATGCAGCGATCATCTATAGCTCTGCCTCTGCATCTCCAACAGTGTCTGAAAACAAATTTCTCATTTATTTCAGTTGCTATCGTACCAAAAACATTGTGGAAACATTTGACTTTTAACTTAAAAACATTTATTTAGTGGTGAGGGGAAAAACTCCATCAATGAAATAATTTTTGATTCATACCTTTATGAATTGCACAAACATGGACTGGAGGTGTATTAGCTTATACTGAAAAAATTACAATGCAAAAAATTAAAATGTAGCTTTTCTTTGACCAATACTTCATCAATCACCTTTTGATAAGTTGAAGGATCTGTGTTCTCGTTTCAAACACACAGCATTAAAGAAGTCTCCCACACATCCAACCTGTGCCCAAAAAGGGGAAAACAAGTTGTCTTTAAATTCTTTAACAGGATAATTAACCCTCAGAATAAATACATGTTCTCTTTGAATAAATGTTTGCAAATCTGGAGTTGAATTTTTTTTTAGATTTTAGATATTTGTTGCATGTTGCTCTCCTTAGTGCTAATAAATCTGCCTAAAAGATCCTTAAAGACATGATCAGGAAGCGTGCAACTATCGGCACATCACTCCAGGACATATGGAGCTTCATTACCATAGAGGGATGAAATCAGAGCCCAAAGCACCAATATGATAATCTTCTATTAGGAATCGTTCTTTATTTTCACATGAGTTTATTTATACATTTTTTATTTTTATATATTTTATATTTATATAGTTATTTATTATTTATTTTTGCTTTGAACCTTCCACATCAATGCCTTTTTCCACACTGTTTACATTTGATCACTGCTCCACTTAAAGAATGGAAATGTTCTTTTTTTCCTGCTAAGCTGCTGGGTGGGTATACAAAATATCATTTTGTATGCACTCTGTGTATACAAATAAAGTTTGTCTAAATCATGAGTTGATGGAATGAAATGTAATTCCTATTTCTCCCACCAGAGGGCAGCATCAGTCTATTTTTTGGAGGAGTTTAACTCATGAGTGTTACTGTACATACAATGTAATGCAATGTTCAGGTCATTCTTCTTCCAAATTATCTATTTAGGAAATAAAATGAACTGATGTTTTTATATCAGCAAATATAAAGGTGTATCACTTCCAAAAGTGCTTCTTATTTATATCATTTTGATTCTCTATATTGATGTTTTTCTATTTTATTTAATTAAAAAAAGCCAATTGTTGTATAGTTTTTTTCTATTTTTCTCTTTCTTTGCTGTTAGGAATAGAGAGACTGCTCCTGCTGTTGGGGGAGAAACCATCCTCCTCTAATCCCTCAGAGGTGGCTGCCTGTGAGCGGGTGCAGCAGAAAGCTGCAGTCACACTGGCCCGTCTGAGCAGAGACCCAGACCTGGCTCAGACTGCCATCCAGCTTAAAGGTAATAAAGAACCTTATCAATTCTACTTTAAAAGAAAAAAATGGCCTTGTGCGAAAAAAAGAGTTTGGATATATATAAAAATACAAAAAATAAAACAGATATAAAACTGTTTAAATGATATTAAGATTCTTAAATCATCCCTTTCAGATGTTCATCTTCTCCCACATATTTTAACCATATATTACATTCCTTTTTTTGATTTAAAGAAGCCAACTCAACATAATACCTTAAAACTCATCTTTCCTGTGATATAAATCAGAAAACAACTCAGACCACTGTTCAAAGAACCAAACATTTATTTTAGTACATAACTGTGTTTGTTTGAGGAAATTAGATTCAGATTCAATAGTTATTCTAACCAAAACCAGCTGATTGTGTTTAGTCATTGCAGGATAACTGCGCAATAAATGTATGATTTGAGGTAACATAGCTAATAGTTTATAATGTTGATGTATTTCTGCTTTAAGTTTAAGCAAACATGGAACAAAGATTTCAAGGATGATAATCAGCTGCTACTGCAAGGGAAAAAAAGGAATTCATAATTTTCAGCCAGGAAAATATTTTTATATTAAAAAAAACCTAAAACATGTTAAAAACGATTCTTGCAGGAAGAGATTTTAGTAATCAATTAATTAGTCATTATTATTTACTGCAGTTCTTACATAGTGAGACTAACACCCTAATTTCAACTGCAAGCAAGTAGAACCCAGCTTCCATCATCAACACAGGGACATAAAGGCTCCTGCTACACATCTGATAAGGTTAACTGGAATTTGCAGCTGTCCATATAGACAAAAGTTTTACGGCCAAACAAGAAACAAATTGATCTTTTTCAACATAGTGAGAACAATATAAACAAAACAAAAAATAGATGAGGCTTTTAGACCTGAGAAAAAAAAGTAGCAGCTCTTAAGCACAGTTATGGCCCCATCATGCTCAGGGTAGAACAATGAATTCTGCAGACTGCTTATATATTCCTCAGCTTGTCTGTAAACAGCAGCCCTGTTATTAAAACCTGGATAGAAATTGGCGATCAAACAGAACAACTCGTTCTGATCAGGTTAAATATTCACCAAAAAGGAAAATATAGTTTCTATGCTAAACTTGTCTGAATTTTGACCTATTTTAAATGGGAGAAAAAGGTCAGTTATTTCAAACATGTTCCCCCAGGTTTTCATTTTTTTTAATAATTAAAGATGTTTGTTGTAGATCGCTTCCATGATTTGAAAGGAAAGGTTCATAATCAGTTAATCAGCAATGCATGATTTTTTTAAATGTTAGAGGTGATAAACGATAAAGAAAGCAGCGTTTTTTTATTTTATTTTATTTTTTTTACATCATTTTAAAGAGGTTGATGTTTGAAAGTGAACGTGTCCCCCTCTGCTGTGTCTAGCTGTCCCTCGTCTCATTGAGCTGTGCCGATCCCCCACTGAGAGAAATAACAGTGACTCTGTTCTGGTCGCCTGCCTGGTAGGTGTACAGATGGGTGTTTCCATATGTGTTCCTGTCTGTTCTATCAGAAGCCTGAATAGCTTTCCAATAACCCTGTGTCCTCGAGACAAAAAAAATGTCTATAAAAACATTCAAATTGCCTTTTTCCTTTCAGAAGTGTATAATGTTAGACATTTTCCTCTGCAGCCATAGAGGATCTCCACTGCGTAGTATTAGATTTATATCACATACATGTTTAAGATCGAAGCTAAGAGCCAAGGTCTAATTTATCCACTTTTATGAGGTGAGGTTTGAGACATGACAATATATCACACGCCATGCAGAGATACGTTAGCAGTTCACATCACCTTATATGTTCTGCTATTAATTAAAGTACGAACATGGAATAAATAATAAGCTTATGCTTTGGCCTCTTCTAAATCTGATCATAATACTTATGATGAGATGAATGTAAGTGGATGGCGGTCAGGAGATTAATTGGGCAGAGAAACGCCTTCCTCTTTGCTGCGCCTGTGCTTGTCAGTCTATTCACATTAATGCGATTCCATTTTATCCCTTCAGCCAGGGGTCTGGCTGGCGCGGGTGTAACATCTACGTCCGCCTTCAAAGGACATGGAGCTTTCTACAGATCATTTGTAATCTTAAATGTAAATGTTGGAGGGGCTCTTCTGGCTGAATGGGGTGCATCGTGCATATTAGTCATTAGCCACATGGGATTTTGCAGCGCTTCGTTAAAGCAACAACTAGAATACAGTATCTGCTCATCTACTGACAAACTCTGTATGTCTCTTCTATTTAAATCTTCATGATTTCCAGAGAGCTCAAACCAATATAACCTTTTCACATTTTTTTCCTCATTACCACAACAAAAATCTGATTATTCTTACTGGAATTATATAAAACAGAACAAAATATGGAAAATACTTTAAATATAAAGGAAAATGTTTTGTAAAACCACAAAGCAGGAGTACATTGGGGGCTACAGGACTTTCACTCAGTTTTTCTGTGAACATTTGGAATGCATATCCAGGAGTCTTTCAGCTGTATACATTTTTCAAGTTAACATTTTGGACAGAGAGGACAAATGATTGAAAGAGGGGGGTAAAGGAAGCCATCTTTAATAAAAAGCAAAAAAATTAAAGGTATTGTGGGGGGATTTTCGTAAATTTTTAAAACTTAAACTCCACAAAAAAAAGCACATGCACAACCCTGTGCCCGCTCCTGAGACGGAACGCCTATAAAAGGCATGTAAGAGAATACATCAGCCTATCTCTCCTCATGCACGCTCTGTTTAAAATTTGCTGTTTGCATCGTCCATTGAAGCTCACCTTCCAAAAGAAGATATGCATTTTTTTTTTTTTTGTTGGCCCTCTCTTTCAAGTTAGACCTCAGTGAGCCAGATGGCGGTCATGGGATTGGGGCTTGAACTTAGAAACTAAGGATTCCAAGCGCAATGCCCTGACCGCCTAGGCCACCACTCCTCCTTTGTCTCAACTCCCTGATTTAACAGCTTTTCTTCGTATAAAATAAATTTTTGTCTGAAGTTTGTATGAAATTGAGTTCTGCCTGCTCCTTTCCAGACTGACCTGTGTAACTTTTTGGCCCAAAGGCGTCTTTGTCTTTGGTGAAGCATGGTACTGTAGTGGCATCATTATGCTGTTGCGCTTAAAGTTACTGTATAAAGGTTTGGATTAAAGTACTATATTCATGTGCTTAGGCCTTGATGTGTCTCTACAGAATGTGTCGGAAATTTCTTCTAAATCTGTAAAAAGGGGCAGGCTTCAAAATGAACATTGTCTTTTTCTGATCATGATCTGACATTGTTTGCTGTGTGTTACATCTAATGACTGAGACTCCTCTCTTCCATAGGGAAGAGCAGAGATGATAGAAATGTACATCAATAAGGCCCTTATCATGGTTCATTCTAAATCCAATTGAAAATCTTCTGCAAAACTTGAAAAAGGTTTGAGCCCAATATTCCTCAGTAGGAATTATTTTATCAAAAATTAACCTCAAAAGTTACCAAAAAAGACTGCATGCTAATCCATGTAGGTTTTTTTCCAATTTCAATTTTATGTCAAATTAAATGCTAAAACTTTACATAAGTCAAGACAGTGGTTGCAATATGAAAAGTTTAAAAGGTGGGGTTAATTAAAAAATTTTTTAACAAGGCAGTGTAAGTCATCTTCCTCATTTTTTTTAACATCACTACAATATATATTGCTGCAAACCAAAGAAGAGCAAGATCCTAGGCAGAAATATAATATAGGTTGTATTTCTGCCTGTGGGTAACATGTGTTTATGTGTCTCCAGGCTGCTTTGAGGAGGCTGGCAGCAGGTTGTCCAGACAGCATCGAGGCGGCAGACCACCAGCAGCTAATCAAACCGCGGCTAGTCGACTCTTTCCTGCTGTGCTCCAACATGGAGGAGAGCTTCGTATGATGACCTGCACATTCAAACACTGAGAGAAGAACTCTCAGACATATCAGCCGTACTCAGACACAAAAAGGAATTTTGTTTGCCTTTCCATCCGTCCAAAGAACACGTTGGAAATTTGATCCTGGATTTGGCTGCATGGAGTCGAACTGAACAATGAATAAATGCAGAAGACATAACTATATGCATGCATACAGATGAATGTAAGGCTGAATACACCAAGAGTCATTGTAAATATAGTAGCTATTTAAAGTGCATAAGATTAAAATTAGCTTTTTAAATAATTTTATTTCACAGGAAATTTTTATGCTAAATGTGTGTTTCTTTGTGTAGGTTTTACCAAGTTTCTTTCAAAGCAAAGGAAGGATTTGGTCTCATTGCTATCAGTGTGTTGTTTTTTCTACCTTTCCTAACAGGTCACATCATTTATGTGTATATTTAAAACAGAGTCAGTTAGTATCTGGTGATTGTCTTATTGAGAAATACACTGGCAACATCACCTTACTTCCCTGAACTCTATGCCATTAAAAGTCAAATATTACAGCTGCAACTGCAAAATAAGAAATTGCTTTTTATTTATACAGATTTACCATTGTAGTATATAATGCATTTAATAAAGACTTTATTGTCATGAGTGGAATGTTTTATTTTACTGTCAACTATATATCTTTTTCTGAAACATAAAAACAGCTCCTGAGATAGCAGAATATGTGCCTTGCAGGACGGTGTGTGTGTGTGTGTGTGTGTGTGTGTGTGTGTGTGTG